AAAACCAGTAAATCGATCAAGGTCTGATTTTTGCACTCTAGGTGTGTCCTCTAGTCAAGTGCAATGAGGTGCCCTGCTCTGGCCTCAGAGTCTGTCTTTTGTACTCCCTCAGGAACTTCCTGCTCTGCTCCCCCTGTTGCTCTGCCGCACGCCTTTAGTGTTTTGCCTCAGTGTCACAGGGTCAGTTCAGGTCATTCCTGAAACTGAGTTTCCAGTGTTGTCCCCCATAGGGCCATGGGCAAGCAAGGGATGGCGTGTCTCAAAGTGGGATCAGCCATATGGTCCACCCTGTGCATTGACTGTTCAAAGCGGGGATATTGTCTTCCAGGCCTGGTGGGCCAGGATATGCTCCACTCTCTCTTCCTCCCCCTTCATTTCTTTTGTATTCTTAAGCAGTAGACCCAATGAATGCTTAGTTAAGAAGATGTTACCCAGACTTTTTGGTTGACTTATCACTCATCTTGTTATTCGAAGGAGAAACAAAGGAGTCGCATAGAATGGAAGTGAGTGGGTGTCTGTCTCTGGTGAAAGAAGGACTGACAGGCTCTCTTCCTCCCATACCAGGAACATGGTCTTTCATCACCACTTCCCGAGTATGTGATCATATCTGGTTGGGGGTGCGGGGCGTTATTTAAGAGTAAAACATAAAGTTGATTGGAAACAATATAAAACAAAAAAGCCTGCCACAAGTCAGTGCCAACTGATAATAACACTCTGTAGGGTTTCTGAGTCTGTAAATCTTTCTGGAAGCAGACAGCCTCATCTTTCTCCTAACGATCAGTTGGTGAATTTGAACTGCTGGCTTTATGGTTATCAGTCCAGTGCTTATCTTACCAGGGCTTGGAAACACAAGCTGGAACTTTTGTCAGCTGTTTCTTTATCAGCTCTCTGGTTTTGAAGATAAGAGTTAAAACTACTCATATGCCAACGCCCCTTTCTAATTCACCTTTGTACCCCTATTTACAATCACTTGGGCAATCAGTAATCATTATCCTGACTCCTAGCAACATATCATCTGCCAGATTTGAATATATATTGCTTTTTGTTTGTTTGACGCTATATTTTGAAATAATTATTCACAGAGAATTGCAAAAAGTACAAGGAGATTCTGTGTAGTCCTCACTAGAAGGTAGCATTTGCTGAATGAAGATCCCCACCCAAAGTAAACAGCTCCCTATCTGAAGACCTGTGGCTACAAAAGGGGCACGGAGAACCTGACTCCTCACCAGGCCCGGGCCATTGCCGCCAGGCAGGATTCAGATGGGCCTGCACCCTTCTTTACCCTACTCTGACACCAGCCACCTCTCCCACCACATTCTCCTTTCTGCTGGGTTCAATAATCTGTTGCAGTAGCCCAGTAGAACTGACAATACTCAAAATTAAGTGGGGCGTGTTCAGGAAATTAGCAACAAAAACCAAACTCACTGCCACCAAGTCAGTGCTGACTTGGAGTAACCCCTTGTGGGTTTCCCAGACTAACTTTATGGGAATAGAAAACCCATGCTGCCTTCTTGGAGAGCTGATTGTGGTTTCGGAGTGCCGACCATGTGGATCTCAGCCCATCACATAACCACTGTGCCACCAGGGCTCCCAGGGAAGTTAACTGGTTACCACAAATTGAGATCAGTAAACTAAGGATGTGATCTTGGTCCACAGCAACACCTTCCTCAGCCAGTAGCCAAGTCTCTCCCCAGTCCTGCATCTCAGATACATGGTCCTTTGGCTTCTTCCTCTGTGGGCCAGGAAGCCAGCCCACTGCTTCTCCTCACAGTTCACAGTCTTACAGGTTCGGTGCTCTTTACCTAGCCTCTGGTCTTGACGTCCACCACATCACAGAGATCCCGCACGTGCACCACTGCTGGCTCTTCTTTCGTGGTCGTGGATTTCCCTCATTTCTTTTTCTGAGATGGCTCATTCTTATAGCCAGAGGAGGGGACCTAAAACTGACCGATTCTCTTTATTAGTGTTACACATATCCTATTTACATAGTCCCAGCCAGTCAATGGGCAAAAATTACAGAGCTATGGATAGAAGGGCCATATTAAGAATTTCACTTCAGTACACCCACCTTTTGCTGTTGGTCAATTCATACCAGAATGGCCGTATGGTGCAGAGTGGAATTACTACACCAGATTTCCAAGACTATATGCTTACTGGAGCACACTGCCTCATTTTTCTTCTAAATAGCAGCTAGTGAATTTGAACCCCTAACTCCTTGGTTAGGAGCCCAGTACTGAACCTACTGCTGTGTTACCAAGGCATCTTAAGATAAAATTTAAACTTCACTTTTTACATAATTTAAATAACAAATTGGATGTGCAGTCAAGCCACCATTTATTCAGATTTCACCCATTTGCATGTTCATTTTGCACTCGTTTGTATTTCTATGCAGTTTCACATGCGTGGACTCATGAAACCACCATTTATGCCGAACTGTTCGTCACCACGAGGCTTCCCTCATGCTTTGCCCTTCCCCATACTGCGTGCTTGTTGAAAATTATTACTAATGCTTCACTAAAACTAGAACACTACTGCTTCCTTGTATCTTGGAATTTTGTCTTCTGTGCATATGTACTGTTCCCCTCCCACGCAGTAAAACGGAGCCACCTTTTCTAAGGGCGAAACTAAAGGTTTTATGCTATCTTAGGGGGGAAAAATAGTAAAGTGGGACATTTTCCTAACAACAAATGCTATCTCAGGATAGTTCCCTACCTCTGCCTGGGAGCATTGAATCAGGATATACAGTGTAGCATCCTCATTGAAGTTTCTGTAAACTTGAAAGAGGAAGAGATGCCACGATCCCCAGTAGTTGAACTATGTAATTAGGTACTGTCTGTGTTCAGTTATTGGGACAAGGTAAGAATCCTCATGCTCAAAGTGTTTATAAGGTAGGATATATTGGTGGTATTGATTAAGTCTGATTTTTTTTTTCAGTTGAACTGAAAATAATTCTTATTTTTTACACATTTTTGCTGTGTGTTCTTATAATTCTGTGCAGGTTGAGTGAACCAAACATGGCTTCTATCAGTGGACAGCTGGAGGAACTGTATATGGCTAACAGCAGGAAGGACATGAACGACACTTTGACAGGCATTCTCATGAGTGCGTGTGTCACCGACACAGTCATGCCCGCCAGGCTGATGATGGAGCACGTTCTTTTAGTTAGCATTCTTCACCACACAGTAGGAATTGAGGTATGGCATCTATTTTTCTCACTCATTTACCATTTGCTATTCTCACTGCTTTTAATAGAGCATACCTGTTTTCCATCATGTAGCTTTAAATAGCATTCACTAGATACTTGGTTTGGGCCAACTTTTATTTTTTTCTTTGGTCCATTCTAATGTGATTTTCTTTGTATTTCTTTTCTTTTGGACTGACATTTTGGGCTTGCCTTCATGTTCTCTATGTGCATGTCCTCCATAGTCCTATTCCTTACTTTAAAATTGGCTTATTTTTATTCGGATGTTCAAGTGTAATGATTTGCATGGTTTTGCCACTGTGGTATTTGTATTGAGTTATTGATTATTTTTGATCAGTAAAAATGCCACCACAAACTTGGAGTCTCCAAGCTTCCCCTCCAAGTTGGTTATATGGCATCTCTGTGCCAGTTCCTCAGCTTCGAAGTAGGTGACACTTACTATCTCATGGAGCTTTGTCAGGATTCAGGTGGACAGCATGTTAAAGTAGTTGGTACCAAGTAGCTACTAGTAGTTACCCAAATACATATTTGTCTCCCATCCACTCCCACCTCTCTTGTATCCTTTGTCCTTGCTCAGTGACCTGATGGTTTAAAGTTAGGGACGACTCTTTGGTTATAACTGGTCCACAGATACCTTCCTGCTACAGCCACATCCTCTGCCATCAGATTGATTCTGACTCATATCCACCCTGTAGACAGAGGAGAACTGCACCTTAGGATTTCCATGCGTGTAAATCTTTGTGGAAGGTGATGGCCACCACTTTCTGCCGTGGAGATGGTGGTTCAAACCACTAACCTTTGCATTGGCAGTCACTGCACTGCCAGGATTCCTTCAGTGGTTGTGTTATTCCGGGTAGGCTAGAGAAACAAATCCATAGAAACTCATGAATAAGAAAGACTTTTATATAAAGGGTAATTTTGCATTAAGAAAGCATCCCAACCGAGTCCAATCCAAGCCCTTAAGTCCAATATTAGCCTATATGTCTGATACCAATCTATAAAGTCCTCGTCAGACTCATGAAACACATGCAATGAAGCCAATTGCAGGACGATCACAAGCCAGTGGGTAGAAAGTCTTTGGATCCAGTGGCGTTGTAAGCATCTCAGCACTGGCAGGCATCTCTATGTGGCTTCTCCAGCTTCAGAGGTTTGGTTGCATCAGGGTAGGTCCATGTGTCTTGTCAGCTGCAATAATCTCCCAGGGAGTTAGAGAGAGAGTGTCTCCCACCTCCACGGAGAAATACAGGATTTCCCAGAATTCTCAGGAGAAGGCCATGCCCACTCTGAGGCCTCATTGGCTATGATCTGATTGACAGACTAGACTCCACCCCTCCTTCACTCTTAATCCTCATTAACAAATGATTATGTAACTGCCACTGTGGTCTGTTGTAAAATTATCAACTTCCCACTGATAGTTCAGTTCCCACAACATAGCTCATTTGATTATGTTAAAAGAAATCAATTTGCCTAAAGAAATTCATTCTGTGGTGAATGAGTGGGTTTCCCTGCCATTTTTCTTGGCCTTCTGATACTTAGTGTTCTCGTATTATAAAGAATAGCCTGAGGCATTAAAGCATCCTAGAAGTCTGCTTTGCAGCTATGCATCTGTACACTTTTGTGTCGTCATAGCTTTTGACCCTTGCAACTTCCCATTGAAATAAGTAGGATAGATAGCAATTTAACCCCCACTTCATACATGCAGCAAACCAGGCACTGAACAGTTATGTGGCAATCCCTAAATCCCAAGACTTGTTAAAGGTAAGCTAAACCTGTTTACCTAGCTCCTTAACCAGTATGTTTTTGCCACAATGCTTTTCATATTAATTTCATTTGCATAGTATTTGCTCTTAATCATAGTCTTAAAAATTATTTGATGTCTTATAGAGTGAGACTGTCAAAGGCTTACTTTAAAATGGACAAACATGGCCAAAATGAACCACTCTTCAAATTACTAGAAGCATAAAAGCAGGGTAGTGTGGTGCAGTGCAGTGTAGTGGTTAATAAGAATACTACCTGAGTTTAGAACAGAGCTCTAATCTGTGTGAGCTTGTATCATTTCTCTGTGCCTCAGTTTCTTAGCATTAAGTTTAATGAGTTATTACATATAATATGCTTAGAAAATCACCTTGTCTGTAGTATGCAGACCGGCTCAAACTCACTAGCTCAAAACCAAACTCACTGCCATCTAGTTGATGCCGGCTCATAGCGAGCCTGTAGGACAGGTAGAACTGTCCCTGTGGGTTTCCAAGATGTAACTCTTCTCGGGAGTAGAAAGCCTGGTCTTTCTCCCTTGGAATGACTGTTGGTTTCAAACTGCTGACACTGCAGTTAGCAACCTAATGAGTAGCCAGTACGCCACCAGGGCTTGTAAGTGCTTAATAAAGGTTAGTCATTATTAACTTAATGAAGGAGTTTTTCAGGTTGAAAGTCTGCTCTTCCTTCTACTTTCTTCCTAGCAGCTTTTCATTCCACTGCAGATTTTGTTTCTGTCCCCAGATAATTTTCTTTCTTATATTTTTTCCTTACGCAAGAGTAGTTACATTATGGACATTTTTTTTAAAAAGATGAGACCGTAGAACCTACCATGCATTGGAAGCTGGAGACAGAGACTGGAGCTGGCCTCCTGGGTAGAACTCAACTACAGACGTTATTGCTTGGGGGAAAAAACTCCACCAACTATTTAGGGAACCACTCTTTGGAATTAATTTTTTTTTAAAGTTTCTAAGAGCTATTCTCATGTTCACTTATGAATGCTGTAATTCCATTTTCTTTTCCATTACAAAGTGTAATGAAATCACTGAACACCATCCTTAGTACCCTTTGATTGCCATAATTCAGTGCCATTATATGATTTTCTTAGTACATTCCTCTCTCCTAAATCACACTGCTATACTCTGAACAGATTTAACCATCAAAGTGATGGTAGTATAGAAAGTGTTTCAGTGAGTTATAGTAAAAGTCATAGCCCATGGTCACTCACAGCATCTTGGAATTTACTTGATTTGAAAACATGAAATTATTGGTCCTACTTTTCATTTATACCTTCACTAATAGCCTGAAGGATAACCAAAATTACTTGTTCCAAGGGGAAGTCATTATAGTACTTTAGCTAATGACATCCACTAAAACTTCTGCCAAAGTATGATGAGCTCTCAGGAAACTGGTTCCATTAAAGTACTTTCAGTTCTATAATGAGAAAAACATCCTCTTAGGAGTTCAGGGAGAGAGGGAAAAAAATGTTTTAAAGACCATGGTGTCAGCTGCTGAATTGCTTCTAAAAATCATTTAACAATCAAGTATGTGTAGATGTTTGCTGAGGGGGGAAAAAAATCCCATATCAGATTTAACTTATATGCTTAAATAACTATTTGTAAGCACACAGCCGCACAGGTGTTACTGTGTTGTTAAGTGCTGTACTAAATTATATTTTATTTTGAAGACTCTAAATGAGATTACATTTTTTCTAATTTTTACAAATTGTTATGTAATTAAAGAATTTTATTTGTGTGCTTGAAAACATACCTGAGTCTAATTTGTGCCATCTGTATAATTCTAATTTCTCTCTATAAATTATATTTTCACATAATGTCATATTAGGAGAGTATATATATATTCGGGTTTATCTTTAGTCAAGGGACTTCAGTTGGCAACTCACAAGTCTAAACACCAAAAATGTAACCACTTTACCAGAGTAAGCCTCATTGAAGTCTATTCTCTTGTCAATATTTTGCCTTTATCTAGCTGCTTCTAGCTTTTTTCTTTTGACTTGTTTTAACGTTATTTTTTAATTTTATTATGCTTTAGTTATTATTTTATTGTATTTATTATATATGCATATTTTAAATTTTAACTAATTTTAAGTGTAAAATTCAGCAATGTTAATTACTTCTAGCATTTGGTTCTTATAATCTAGCAGTGAATATGTTTTCTCATTAGACTGTAACCTTTCTCATTGACCTCATTTTCCCCATGATTTTAACTTATCGCACATCTATTGCCAGTCCCACTTGGCGTCCCAGAGTTGACGCTAATAAGTCTTAAATAGGTTTGTCCACCCTCTACTGTAGTTACTAGCACTGTCACTTACTCTAGCTGCCAGACTAAAGCCTGAGAACCATAAGCTTTTAGCTTTTCAAATCTGGATCACTTCAGCCTACCAATCCTGTCACAGAGGCACCCTTGTACCCACGCCTTTGTTTCCAGAGCTAGTCTGACTGCCTCAGTCCTGATTTTCTTGTCTTAACTAGACTGTTGAGAAACTTATTTACACCGTTATATCCATGCTGCCATTCATTTCTTCCTCCCGTCTCTAACTTGAGCTGAAATTTGAAAGATCATGTCACAGTAAACATAACAAAAATTATAACCACCACTTTTCTGCCTTAAGTTTCATTATCCTAGTTTTCCAGAGAGTGGAAAAATTTAGAGCAGTGCAGAAATTTGCTCAGACCTCAGAGATTGGGGCATGTGGGTAAACCAGGATTCATTTCCAAGTCTCTCCAAAGTACTCTTGAGATTTGGGATCGCAATTCATGAGAATGATGAAACTTTGGTGGCTTTCCATAGCTTTGCTAAACAACATGCAGTTTCTGGGTCACATGCTGTTCCCTAAAAGATAACTAACCGCATGTTTATTTTGTTGGTTCCTGAAGGGCAGTACATTGGCTGCCTTACCTCTAAAACAAGAATCTTTGAAAATCAGGCTATCTCATATTGTGTATGTGTCCTTTACGATCGTTCTTAAGTAGCTGTTGAGTTAAGAGCTTTATTATTACTTGATACTGTGTTGTGTGCTTTTTATTGCTGGTATTTAACATCAATTTTATTGCTTCCTTATTAAAAAATTAACTAAGAATAAAAACTTGGAAAAAGTGTTGAGAAATTAATTTCATTGGTTAGTAGTACAATGTAGAGATAGAAGCATGTTTTAAACAAAATTTTCAGCAAATTAATTTTTCCAAGGACCCATATTGGCTGTCCCCTTGTTGATGTTACAGAAAAGAAGCTGTGCCTTGAGTCCTATGGCAGATTGCTTTATGTTGTCATTTACTATCTGCTGCCCTCTCGTCATATAGTAAGCAGTAAGTGCCTGCCTAGTGGTCTCTCAGAATAACTTGGTAAAGTTTGTCTTTTTGTGTGCTTTTAATGATTTTTTTCCCCCTTTGTTCAGGTTGGTGCTCACTTTTTGGAGGTTGTGGTGAAGAAGTTTGAGGACGTGTATAAAAATGGACATGGAGGGAAGGAATGTGATAACCTTTTTTCCATTCTTGCCCATTTATATAACTTCCATGTGGTACAGTCTCTTCTCATCTTTGATATTTTGAAAAAACTTGTTACAACTTTCACAGAAAAAGATATTGAGTTGATCCTGTTAATGCTGAAAAGCGTGGGCTTTTCACTGAGGAAAGATGATGCTTCATCACTTAAGGAGCTGATCACGGAAGCTCAGAAGAAAGCCAGTGAAGCCGGCAACAGATTTCAGGACCAGACCAGGGTATGTTACAAAATGACTAGGTGCTCACACACGGACCAGAACTTACAAATACTAAGGATTGGGGGCAAATATTGCCGTAATTTCCTCTTGGTTTCAATTACCTTCTGCTTCATCTAATTTTATGTCTTTGTCATTAGTGTGTGCTAGAAACCTGTTTCTTTACTAAGAGCTCAAATTATGAATTTAAGAATTGATTTATTTAACATTCATCTATCTGAAAAATGCAGGTAGCAAATGCTCAAGGAGAAGCATATTTGAGAGAGGAGACAGCCCCTGAAATGAAAGTACTTGGGTTAGTTACTGAGATGAGATAAGGGAGATGTGGACTAAGATATTTGAGAGTCCTCATCATACAAAATGGTCATTGGAGCCTTAGAAGTAGTTACAATTGCCTGGTACACAGCAGGAAGCAGAGAAATTAAAGATGGCATTTAACTGCAGAGGGGAGGAAGAACTGGCCATTGAGAATGGAACACAGAAAGGAAAGTTGTAGAAGACAGGTGCCAAGGGTTTTTCTTCTTATCCTCTGTGTTGAAGGCTAAGAACTCATGCAAGGTAAGAACTAAAATTTTAATTTGCAGTTCAAGTAAATAGAGGCCATTAGTCACTGTTACATGGAGAAACGTGATGAAGTACATAGAAAAATTCCATTGCCTTTTAATTCCATTTTTACACATAGTTTTTGAGGCGGCTGTATATTTAAGTTCAGAGAAATCTCGGAAGAAGAGGGTGTTGAGGGAATGGGGGTGGGGGGCATGGTTGAATAGAAGGTACTGTTTTGAGATGGAAGCAGTAAGTTCTACTTAATAAAATATTGATGGTCAGAAAGTAGCGGTTGGAAAACCCACCCAGTAGCATTAGAGAAGGCCCTGGCCATCGCTTTCCATGGAGCTGACAGCTTAGCAAACGCCGTGGGGCAGTTCTGCGCTGTCACAGGGCTCTCTGTGAGTCAGAACCAACACAGCACCTAACAACACAAGATAGGCTGAAGGAGTTGGGGGGTAGGGAATGACTATTAATAGGTGTGGATTACTTTGTGGGGGAAGAAACTATTCTAAAATTACTTGCAGTGGTGGAAAGTTCGTAGTGGGAAATAGGTTAAAAATATATAGGAAAGAAGAGGATCATCAACAGGAAAGGGAACAGAGTGAGAGGGGATTGGACCTGGAAGACTGGTGGAGGTAGTACCTCCTACAGGTACAGATGAGTTACCAGACTGGGCGGCTGGCTCAGTAAGAGTCAAAGGGAGCTATGCAAAGGCTAAAGGTCTGTAGAAGGGTATAGCACATCCAAAAAAACGGAGACAGAAAATATCTGTGGTATTCAAACTCCCAGAAAAGGTGGCAGTAATAGTGTTATAATATGCAATATTTTACAGCTGTGAACAAATGTTATTTGTTAACAGGAAGATTAAGGGATCAAACCTGCCAAATCTCCATGGGAGAAAGCTTCTCTAAAGATTGTTGGTATCATGGAGTTGGTTCTGATGCATAGCAACCTGATGTGTCAGAGACCAAAATGAATGTCATTGGTTTGTCTCCATTATGTTACATTTGCCAAGGTCTCTCTTAATGTGTTGAAAAGAGTATTTGCATTGAATAAGTCAATGACTATACAAATTCTATCATCTGATCTCTGGCATAAGTTTTATTACCAAGTCCATATTTTCCAATACCGATCCTTCTTTGTTCCTAGTTTTCATATTGCAAGCACCTAGATTATCAATGGTGTTTGATTAATTTCAGACTATAGAACTTGTTAAAAGAATCTTCCATTTCTTCATCTTTGGAATTACTAGTTGTTGCCTAAATTTGAATAATATTAACTGGTCTTCAGCAGCATATGATATTACCTAACACTGACAGCATTATACTTCAGGATAGATCTTGAGATGTTCTTTTTGACAAGGAATGTGACAGTTCCTCTTCAAAATGGGAATTGCTAGTCCATTTCTGCCCACTAATGCATAGAATATGAATCTATGCATTTCTTCTCATTCTCGACTCCAATTTTCCTAGATTCATACTTTGAATAGTCTGCGTTCCAATTATTAATGGGTATTTACAGCTGTTTCTTCTCATCTCGAGTGCTGCCACATTAGCAAAGGATGGTCCCCAACTCCATGCAGTAAAGCTGACTGTACTTTGAGAAGCAGCTCTTCCCACTAATACTTTGAGAACCTGCCAACCTGAGGCGCTCATCATCTGGCACTGTATCAAACAGTATTCCTCTGCTACTTGTAAAATTCTCACTGTTGTTTTTGTTGTTGTTGTTTTTCTAAGAAATAGATTGCCGGTCCTTCTTCCTAGTCATTCTTCATCTTATAACTCCTTTGAATCCTGTCTATCATGAGTGATCATGCTGTCATATGAAATGATGGAGGCACAGCTCCCAGCATCATAGCATGCACAGGCCATCTTGAGCACCCTGATGGGTAATCAGTTGTTTATTTTATTTGGGGTTTTTTTTTCCCCCCCGCCAGATTCGGTTCATGTTAGAGACCATGTTGGCACTGAGGAATAACGACATGCGTAAAATTCCAGGTTATGATCCTGAGCCTGTGGAGAAACTGAGGAAATTACAAAGAGCTTTGGTAAGTAACTTATTTCTGATGTGTTTTGGGCTTCCATGTCAACATGAACCCATAATTCAAATTAAAATGATCAGGATCTGAAAGTCATTTGTTCTGTGCTGTTAGTAAGAGTCCTAAAGATGTCCAATAGAAAGTTATTGTTTCTTTGGGGAGATCTTTTGAGTAGTTACAGTGCTGTTTCTGTGACATGTGTATTGAGACAAATTCTCATTCATTAAGCATCCTGTTCACTGACGCAGTGGTGCTGAACTGTGCAAAAAATATTCATCTGGTGGCTTTCTGAAAATGCAAATACCAGGAGCTGCCTAAGAGAGGGTTTTTGTTCTGTTTTTAACTCCTCAGCTGTTTGGAATGTGCACTCAGGTTCAGACCCACTGATCTCCCCAGTCAGATTAAGTTTCTCAGCCCCAGCCTTAACCTAGCTGTTGACGAGCAAAACCAATCACTTCAACTGCCAACATGGTCGAACTCACTGTTTGCCCCTAAGTCTGAATCAGGTCAGATTGCTCTTGCTTTCCTGTAACAGCTTTCTAAAGAAAATGCTATTTGGGGACGATAGAGCCATGTTTGTTATCAATTGACCTCGCACACAGAGTGCTGTCTGTGCTGCTTTGATATAGCTGTGCTTTGGCATTATTCCGAACAGGTGGAACTGTCAAAGTTGTTCGATTTTACTGGCAAATATTCATGCACCCAAAAACTCATGACTCAAATAACAAAAATATTAAGGATGGAGATAGTACAAAATAGAAGCATTTCCAGTAGGTCCTGTTTATTTTTTTAATCAGGTGCGCAACATTGGCTCGAGTACAGAAACACGGCTTCGCATCTCCTGGGAGAGTGTCCTGAATGCAGAGCAAGTTGGCCGCTGGTGGATCATCGGGTCATCGTGGAGTGGAGCCCCAATGATTGACGGCCCCGAGAGTAGGGTCCAGCAGAAGCCACTCACAGGGACGGTAAGGTGATGCCTGTCTTTTTCTATTTCTATGCAGCCCTGGTACTGTCTAGTGCAGCTAGCTCCTTTATTATTTGTGGCCCGATTATGCAAATATGTGTTTGAAGACCTGACAGAAGTTGCCATAAGTCTGTAATATAATTTCTGTGGCTTATTTACTTTTAAAAAGGTTAATTGGGTGAAGGGATCATATGATAATTAACTCACAAATACCAGTCCTTGAAACAGGCATATGCTGTTTTCCAGATGACGTGCTTCTCTTTCATTTACCTAGGGTTTTAGATTGTTAAACTTTCTTGCCCTTCTTTGTATTTTATAATTAATAACTTAAGTCCATACTTTATTCATATTCCCTGAGTTATTACCACCCTTTTTCTGTCCAGGATTCATTCCACCTGCTGTTGCCCCCCTCCAGAGTATCACAGTACATTTAATCATCCTGTCTTTTAGGCTCCTTGGGCTATGCCACTTAATGCGTATTTTATTTCCTTGTTACTTAAGAGTGATTCAGATCATACCACTTGTGAAAAAAAGTTTTCTAAATCAAGTGTTTTTATACCCAGTGGCTTTTCTTAGCTCTTGCTTTATTTCTTTTATTTCTTTAGGGTTGCCCAAGCCTAATGATTTAGTGTTGATTTACATTTGTAATAAGTACAAGTCCACGCAGAAATTATAAAAGTTGTTTTTTAGAAACTACAGTTAACCAATGTATGAAGTAGTATTTCTCAAGCAACAAAGGAATTTCGTTGAAATATACAAGGTCAAAAATATTGCTGCTAGGGTTCCTACTGACACAAGCACTGGTTGATTCCTAAAATATGTGTTCAAACATGTCTCTATCATCAGTGGGTAGCCACAGACAGGTTCTCTCGCTAATATACATGTCTCAGTCTCATTACCTCAAGAATAAAAATACCCTCACTGCCATCGAGTCAATGCCAATACATAGCAACCCGCTAGGACAGGGTAGAACTGCCCCTGTGAGTGCCCAAGACTCTAGCTCTTCATAGGAGTAGAAAGCACTGTCTTTCCCCACAGAGTGGGCTGGTTGTTTCCAACCGCAACCTTACGGATCACAGGCCAACGTGTAACTAGTGTGCCACAGGTCTTTTTAGGGTGTCTTCAAACTAAAGCCAAACAGTAGTTTCTGACAGGATCTGTGAGGCCAATGAAATTAAAGGCACATAGGTCAGCTTAGAAGGTTATGGTGACTATGGGGGAATCATAAGAGGTAATCTTGATAGATTTTCTCGAAAGACATAAGACAGTTTTGCGGCTTATTAGGAAGATGTTTTCTGAAAATTAAAAACTATACTATTAAGAAAAAAGCCAAAAATGTATCGAGGAAATTTTTTCATGATTATAACGCACCTGCTTATTCTTCAAAGCTAGCAAGGACTGTCCTATGAGAATTTCATTGGAGAACCTTCCCCCACCCACCCAACAGCCCTGATCTTGTCCCTCCAGGCTCCTTTTTTGATTCCCAAACCCAAAGAACATTTAAAGGGAACATAATTGAGTCCCTCGAGAATGTCAGAACTGCCATTTTGTTAAATCGAGCGAAGAATTCAGGAAAGGGTGAGAGTGGGGGAAACACCTGTAGAAGTTATAGAGCTAGATAGAGGCTATGTCAAGAAACAGTAGGTTCGAAGCTTGATATTTTTGTTCAATAAAGGTTTCTGTGATTTGCACTGATGTTTAAAAATGACTCCCCCTTTATGTATGTGGTTTCTTTGTTCCTCCTTTCAGGTTAGTTCAAAGATACTGGACCTTGCCCGTAAGCAACGAATGAACACTGACATTCGAAGAAACATATTCTGTACCATAATGACAAGTGAAGACTTTTTAGATGCATTTGAAAAGCTTCTAAAGTGAGATTTCTGTAAATATATTGTTATTGCTTAACTACATGTAAAAGAAATGTTCATTTGATTTCTTTTAATATGACTTAACTAATGTCAGGTGCAACATAAGTATAACTTCCTTCCCATCTCACTCTGCTTGAGTCCGTGCATCCCTGTTGGTTAGCAGTCTTGTTCCTTTTAATTTGCCACCAGTGTAGAGCGGTGGGCTAAGTGTTGGACTGCTCCCAGAAAGTCAGTGATTCAAACCCACCCGCTGCTCCGCGAGAGAAAACCGAGCTAGCTGTATCTGTAAAGAGGTAGAGCCTCAGGAACCCTGTGGAGCAGTTCGACTTGGTCCTACATGGTTACTATGAATCGTTTTTGTTTTAATTACTAATTAAAGCATTTTGTTATATGTAGGATGGGGGGACTCAATCGAAATTATTAGATTACTAGTCGATCATTCTTAGTTGCTGTTGGTTTTAGTGAATTGCATGAAAATATATAAATTTAATATTAAAATTATACTTATATGTTTTAATTAAAAATTTTTGTATAGTTTCTATAATTAGTTATAAGAAGATGTTTAAAAATGGCTGGAGACTATAAACAATTCAGTCTGGTTTTTTTTCCTTAATACTAAAATGTGGTTAATTACAGGATTCTTGGCTTCAAAAAGTTCATGCGAATTTTTCATTATATTTTAATACTATTTTTGCACAACTTTTTAAAGTCTCATATTTTCTTAAACATGTTGAATTGAAAAGTGTGACCTTTCTTTACCTCTCTGTGAACACATCTATGTTTTGTCTAGCATATCTCTATGGCCCTTAATTATACTTTGATTCTAGAAAAGGCTGTGGGGAGGTTTCATGGTCTGTAGTTGAAGTGTCTTACCTCATTCTTGATACACAAAGAATTCCTTTTACTAATTTTCCCTCATTTGATTTCATGTCCTGAAAATGTTTGCCCAACAAGCTATGTTTATTAGGCAGTATATTTTTTCAATTTTTATTCATCAGAACTACATAGCTGCTCCTCTGAATATTTAAACAACTTGATATCAATTCAGCCGAAATAAATTGGTTATTTTAGTTGCCTTCAACCAACCAATTTCTCTAGTTCAAGCAAGTATGATTTTGGCCAGTTTTGTTTTTTTTTAATCAGGTTTTTTGTTTGTTTCCTGTGGCTTTTTATAATTTTGGCAATAGCTGTACTTCTTTTCTCCTTTGAGTTCACGTTCCTGTCTTTATGTGGAGACAGCAGTTGGAACAGTTTTCAGCATGGTTTACTTCCAAAGTTAGTCAGTCTTAATCATGAAAAATTTAGAACAAATTAAATGCCCTCATGGAGGGAAGAATAAATAAATGCTATCCATCCATACAGTGGGCTGCCCGGCTTAAACAGGAAATAAATCTCTGCTGTCTGCGGCAACGTGAGGGAGCTCAGGTGATGCCAAGTGAAAGGCACCTGCTCAAAGGCTGTATGTTTGGTGATTCTGCTTGTGTGATATTCTGACTGAGCCAAAACTGTAGGCACAGAAAACAGGTCCAGGTTTGCGTGGGGCCTGGGGGAAAGTTTGGTTACAAAGAGACACAGGGGATTTTGAGGGGTAATAGATTTTTTTATATTTTAATCATGATGGTTGCTATGTATCAAAACCCAGAACTATACACCAAAGAAAAATTTAATTGTATATATGTTATACATTAATATTTTTTTTTTAGTTAGAGAAATAATAGTCATGCTATAAGGGCATACATAATTGAGTGCTAACACAATTGTTTGTCAGTCTGACACTAATTATAGACTTGTAGGTAGATTAGAACTCATAAATCATATTTTCTTACCCCTCCCACACTCAGAAACATTCAAGTTCAGAGAAATTGGAGACAAAGCTAGGCCTAGTTCATGTCTCCTGATACCACCAACTCCTCTACCTAGCTCTCGTTTCACCAAACTCTGCCAAGCGGCAATATGTGTCTGAAAGATTTCTGACTTAAGGCTGTAAAACTGGAAATTTGAGTGACTTGTTTGGTAAGTTACTATTTTTTTCCATAGGCTTGGACTTAAGGATCATCAGGAAAGAGAGATAGTTCATGTTCTCTTGGATTGCTGCCTTCAAGAGAAAATGTATAATCCTTTTTATGCATTCTTGGCTAGCAAGCTTTGTGACTATGAAAGGAGATTTCAGGTAAGAAGACCACCAAGGGTTTTTTCTAAGCATTCTGTTTGCCTCACTCCATCTAATAGTTCCCTGAGTCGACCCCCGACCAGAGAGTTGTGTCCAGTGGGATAGAACATGACTCTCATTGGTCTGCCATAAGAATAGTAGGCGGTGCCATCTGTAGAAAGTGATGCGGCTGGCTGTACAACCAAAGTGCTTGCTGTATACAATTTTTCTCATCGCATATAAAGTGTAATTTTTATACGTAAGCCTCTTTCTAGTTGTATACTGCATCATTCTTTTCTAATATAATTTTATATACAAATGCCTAAAAACCTAACTTTTAGTATGTGCTGATTTGAGAGGAACAGCTGCAATAGAAAGAAACTTTTGAGGCTAGTACAAACAGTCTCTCCAGTCCCAGTGGCACCGCCGGATAATTGTTAGGCTGCTAAGCACAAGATTGGCGGCTCAAACCCACCAGCCACTCCATGGGAGCAAGATGAGACATAGAAAGCCTATTTAGGGTAACTGAGTCAGAATCAACTCCCAGGTAATGGGTTTGATAAGGGTTTTGGTATCATTAGAAAGGAAATGTGTGATTGCTTCTAAAGACTTGATGTTTAGAATATTAAAAATAAATTAATAAACTCGTGTATTTTATAAGAAATAGAATAGCTTTAGGTTATATTATTATTAAGAAATTGTAATTATTTATTGCATCTAAACCTTTTTTCTTTTTTTCAACTCTGGTTAGATGACTTTCCAATTCAGTCTATGGGACAAATTCCGGGAGTTAGAAAATTTGCCAGCTACTAATTTTTCTAATTTGCTTCATCTTGTGGCCAACTTGTTGAAAATGAAATCACTTCCACTCTCCATTTTAAAGGTGTGTATAATACTATGAAAATGATAGTATAAGTGCCTATAATTATTCTTCTAAAAATTGCATTTCTTTGGTTTTTAATATACCTGCAAAGTGTTTTCATTATCATAGACATCATAGATCACTAAATTAGCATAAAGCACACATTTACCTAGAGTAAATTAGGATAAAAATACAAATTTTGTGTTAATCTAATACTTCCATTTGAGGTGAATTTGCATGTCTGATTACAAAATCATGAATTGGTCACTATAGCATTCAGAGAAAGATAGTAAGAGTTGATCACCTTGTAGAGGTTGGGCGCCATGTCTTCATTTTTCATTATTTTGATATACGTTCAATCAACAAGACACAGTTCTTCCCCGCTACCCTGACCCCATCAGCATTGGGAGCCTCTGCATCCCCTCAGAGGCAGTGAACTCAATACCGATGTACTGGGGTTTGCGTCGGGCCGACAGTGAACTGGTGCACAGTCCACAGAACTGTAGGTGGGCTGCAAGCCCACATGTTAGGACCACTGGGATTGCAGTGGCGCAAAGTATTGTGCTTTTAGGGAACTTGAAGGTCAAAGGAAAAGAGAGTTGGTTCAGTGGCATCGACCTTATGTCTTCTGTGCTGCTTCCTCCTCTGCAGGTCAGACCGCCACTGCAGTTTCATTTATTGTTGTTAGGCGCGGTTGATGCCATTCCCACTCAGAGCAAGCCTGCGTGTACAACGAACAAAGCACTGCACTCTCCTCACAAACGTTAGGCTAGAGCCTTTTGTTGCAGCTGCTATATCAGTCCCTGTCTTCTTAAGTCTTTTTATGCCATTCATCAGAGAATTGACTCAACATTGCCTTATATTTCTTTTGTTGTGTGAAAGTAGGTTTTGGCCACTATACTTCAAAATGCGGATATTGAGCCTTAAACTAGCATCTGGAAAATAGCAGAATTTAAAATAATGTTAGGAAATGTAGTTGGAGTTTATTGTGAGTTTATAGGAGCTTATTTCCTCTGGCCCTTCCCCAGAGGAAACCACTTGGTTTTTTTCTTTTTTTAATTTTAAAACAGTTTTTTTGGACATGTAATTCACATACCATACAATTCAATGGCTTAACCGTAGTAAAAAGTTGTTCAGTCATCAAGGTAACCATTTTTTATTGGGGTATCGGTTTTGATATTTACATGTATCTACAAAAGTACATAATGCTGTTTTGCACACTTTTAACTTTCACATACATAATACTATACTGCCACATAATATTAGTATCTCACAATTCATTTTTATTCACATTAATTTGCAATTTATCCATGTTGACATATGTAACCTTAGTTTCTCCTTTTATAACTACTGAGTAGTATTCCACTATAAAACTACTACAATTTTTGTATGTATTAATTGATCCTGTTGATAAACATACAGCTTGTTTCCAGTATTTTTATAGTTTTCCAGGGATTGTATGTATAGCTTTTAGTTAAAAAAATGAGTCCTTAGGAGATTAAGATAATGTGAGGGACTTTCAAATGTTTGTTGGAAAATTCCAGTATCTTTTCATTCTATTTTTCCACAAACATTTTGAAGCATCCTTTTGTATATTTTTCAACTCTGGGAATTAAACTCCTAGCTCATAAGACTACCTGCATAAACTTGACACTACCACTTGCTCTCCAAAGTGGTGGTACCAACTTCCTCTCCTACCAGTAGTACGTGTATAAGAGTTCCCGCATTTCCACACCCTTGCTAATGACTGTGCTTTTTATAAAAAAATCAACAACTAACTAGAAATGCTACTTAAATGTAAGACAGGAGCTAAAATTTTATTCTAATTGACTATATTTAGAAATCATTGGGAATGTTGACCAAATCAGTGTAACCTTATGTTTATCTCTATTAGGTCATTGAATTCAGTGAATTGGACAAACCCAGAGTCCATTTTTTGCGGAAAGTGTTATATATGCTCTTAATGGACACAGAGGTTGAAGATCTTAGTTTAATTTTTACAAGGTATGTTCCTAGCTGCTCAGATACGTGGGAAAGGGATGAAGAGTTGCATTTATGTTGATTTGTAAAGGAAGGTTGTACACGTTCTATGTAGATATGTAGATCTTCATTTTCAGTTGTCTCTTTAACTATGTGTTAAATGTGAGGAACATAAAACTCACCTAATATCAAACTAACAATGATGTGTAACAAATAGAATGTATAAGTTCTTCATGGAGAATTCTGTTTTTAAAAGGAAGTAGGTTATATCTGGCTCATCAGGATCCTAGGTTTTAAGATACGAGAAGCTAATTTGTCACTGTACCATGTTCTTCCCCCTCCTTTCAGAGTGTCCGACAACCCGAAGCTTGGGATGTTACGGGAAGGACTGAAGCTTTTTATCAGCCACTTCTTACTGAAGAACGTACAGGCCCGCAAGAGTGCTGAGGACACCACCCTCCTCAGAGAGAGAGCTGACCTTGCAGTGCAGTCTTTGCAAGGAAGGTCTGCCCTGAGAATGTAGTCTGGGATGCGTGGAAGGTGAAGGCCACGGGACTGCTCAGCGGCCTAGCGGCCTGCTTTCCAAAGTTGATGACAATTTTTTATTCAAAGTTACCCTGTATTTGTGCTCCAAATCATTTTCAAACAACTGGAGAGAAAGAAAGTTGAGGGAACAAATAGTTACGCTGTCCGCTGCTAAGTGAACAATCGAGTTACTACGAAAGAAAAGCCTGGCCATGTGCTGCAACAGCCAGCCATTGGTATCCCTGCACAGTTCCTTCTACTCTGACCCAGATGAGGTTGCCGCCGTGAGTCCGAATCAACGAATCAATGCAGGTGTGTGTGTGTGTGTGTGAGAGAGAGAGAGAGAGATTATTCAGACAAGCTACCAAAAGTATCTAATTATTTGGAATGCATTTCAATTATTGAAAAATATGATTGTCTTGAGTCTTACAGATAACCATCTTATGTATAATATAATGTAATTATTTTTATCTTCTAAAATTTTTACACAGTAAAGAATACTCTTTGCTATTTTTATATCAAAGCTCTGGTGGCGTATAGTGGTTAAGAGTCGGGCTGCTAACCACATGGCTAGTAGTTCAAAACCACCAGCTGCCGTTTGTGAGAAAGACGAGGCTTTCTACTCTCACAAAGAGCTACTGTCTAAGAAACCCACAGGGGCAGTTCTACCCTTCCCTACAGGGCAGTGATTCTCAACCTGTGGGTCTCAACCCCTTTGTGGGTCGAATGACCCTTTCACAGGGGTTACCCAATTCATAACAGTAGCAAAATTACATTTATGCACTAGCAACAAAAATAATTTTATGATTGGGGTGGGGGGTCACCACAACATGAGGCACTGTATGTAAGGGTCGCGGCATTAGGAAGGTTGGGAACCACTACTACAGGGTCACTATTAAGCAGCATCTACTCAATGGCGGTGAGTGTTTTTGTTACTCTGTTCATCAACTCTAGGTTGTAGCTGTACTGTCTCAAGTCACCAGACAGATGCGGGCCATTTAATCTTGCTGCTCACTGGGTAGGGTCCGTTGTTGGGTGCCACTGCTTCCTCGTAACCTGGTGTCCACAGAGCAAACACTGCCCCGGCTCGCACCTGCCTGACAGTCCGTATGTTTGAGCCCGTGAGTGCAGCCTGTGTCACTCCACCTTGTTAGGGACCACCCTTTTTATCGCTGCTCCTCTGCCTTATCCAGCATGCTGTCCTCCTCCAGGGACTGGCCTCTCCTGACAACGTGTCCAGAGGACATGAGATGAAGTTTCCACCATCTTTGCTTCTAAGCATTCTGGCTGTACTTCTACCAAGACAGATTTAGCTGTTCTTTTGGCAGTTCATGGTGCTTTCAGTATTCTTCTTCTGTCTTCCTTATTTGATGTCAATCTTTCAATGGCATGTGAAGCAATTT